CCTCCAGCAGTGAAGTTTAGAGAAAATTTGAATCATACCAGTTTTGAATTACTCAGCCTCAGGGGAATTGACCCTCCTTTCTATGTGCAATTCAAAAATAGCTTTGTTGTTTAAAACCAAATTCAGTTGAAACGTCAGTAATAGGCTAATAGTTTTACCAAAAACATAATTTACTAGCCTGAGCTTACATGTTTAAAATAGGAAGATTCTGCTTAGTCCTAAAACATGCTTTTACTGTGACCTCCTATCTTAATAGTCTCTATTTTTCAAAACTTCCCGTTGGACACTGGGGGTATGTTTACACTACGAAATTAGGAGGAATTTATAGAAGTCGATTTTTTAGAAAGCGATTTTATACGGTCGATTGTGTGTGTCCCCACTAAGCGCATTAAGTCAGTGGAGTGTGTCCACAGTACCGAGGCTAGTGTCGACTTTCAGAGCGTTGCACTGTGGGTAGCTATCCCACAGTTCCCACAGTCTCCACCGCCCATTGGAATTCTGGGTTGAGCTCCCAATACCTGATGGGGCAAAAACATTGTCGAGGGTGGTTTGGGGTACATGTCATCAGTCGCCCCTCCCTCTGTGAAAGCAACGGCAGACAATCATTTTGCACCTTTTTTTCCGTGCTGGTGCCATACTGCTTTCAGCAGATGGTGCAGTAGGGCTGCAAACCATCATCATCGAACGACCACTTCCATTGCCACTCTGCTCTCCTTGTGCTATGAATCCACCTCACAGGTCCTCCATATGACCGTCATCATCCACCGCTTCCGCTGCAACTCTGCTCGGCTGCTCTTGTCTCGCCATACCACGCCAAGCGTGCAGCCCACTCAGCTGTTGTGTCCTGGTAGCAGACGGTGCGGTAGGTCTTCACAACTGGTATTCCAACCACTGCTTCCCCTGCAACTCAGCTCTCCTGCAGACGCCATACCACGGCAAGCATGGAGCCCGCTCAAATCACCGCAGCAGTTATGAACATTGTAAACACCTCGCGCATTATCATGCAGTTTATGCAGAACCAGAACCTGCAAAAGCAGGCGAGGAGGTGATGGCAACGTGGTGACAAGACTGATGAGGACATGGACACAGACTTCTTTCAAAGCATGGGCCGCGGCAATTTGGCCATCCTAGTGATAATGGGGCAGGCTCATGCCATGGAACGCCGATTCTGGGCCCAGAAAACAAGCACAGACTGGTGGGACTGCATAGTGTTGCAGGTCTGGGATGATTCCCAGTGGCTGCGAAACTTTCGCATACATAAGGGAATTTTCATGGAACTTTGTGACTTGCTTTCCCCTGCCCTGAAGCGCAAGAATACCAAGATGAGAGCAGCCCTCACAGTTCACAAGCAAGTGGCGATAGCCCTCTGGAAGCTTGCAACACCAAACAGCTACTGGTCAGTCGGGAATCAATTTGGAGTGGGCAAATCTACTGTGGGGGCTTCTGTGATCCAAGTAGCCAACGCAATCACTGAGCTGCTGCTATCAAGGGTAGTGACTCTGAGAAATGTGCAGGTCATAGTGGATGGCTTTGCTGCAATGGGATTCCCTAACTGTGATGGGGCGATAGACGGAACGCATATCCCTATCTTGGGACTGGAGCACTAAGGCAGCCAGTACATAAACCAAAAGGGATACTTTTCAGTGGTGCTGCAAGCACTGGTGGATCACAAGGGACGTTTCACCAACATCAACATGGGATGGCCGGGAAAAGTACATGACGCTCGCATCTTCAGGAACTCTGGTCTGTATGAACAGATGCAGCAAGGGACTTACTTTCCAGACCAGAAAACAACCGTTGGGGATGTTGAAATGCCTATAGTTATCCTTGGGGACCCAGCCTACCCCTTAATGCCATGGCTCATGAATCCATACACAAGCACCCTGGACAGTAGTCAGGAGCTGTTCAACTATAGGCTGAGCAAGTGCAGAATGGTGGTAGAAAGAAAAGGAGTACTTGTGGCACCTTAGAGACTAACCAATTTATTTGAGCATGAGCTTTCGTGAGCTACAGCTCACTTCATTGGAGCTGTAGCTCACGAAAGCTTATGCTCAAATAAATTGGTTAGTCTGTAAGGTGCCACAAGTCCTCCTTTTCTTTTTGCGAATACAGACTAACACGGCTGCTACTCTGAAACCTGTCATAATGGTGGTAGAATGTGCATTTGGACGTTTAAAGGCGCGCTGGCGCAGTTTACTGACTCGCTTAGACCTCAGCGAAACCAATATTTCCATTGTTATTACTGCTTGCTGTGCACTCCACAATATCTGTGAGAGTAAGGGGGGAGATGTACGTGGCGGGGTGCGAAGTTGAGGCAAATCGCCTGGCTGCTGATTACACACAGTCAGACACCAGGGCAATTAGAAGAGCACAGCAGGGCATACTGCGCATCAGAGAAGCTTTGAAAACCAGTTTCCTGGCTGACCAGGCTACAGCGTAACCGTTCTGTTTGTTTCTCCTTGATGAAAACCTGCCCCCTTGGTTCACTCTACTTCCCTGTAAGCCAAGCACCCTCCCCGCCCCCCTTTGATCACCACTTGCGGAGGCAATAAAGTCATTGTTGTTTCAAATTCATCCATTCTTTATTAATTCTTCACACAAATGGGGGATAACTGCCACGGTAGCCAAGGGGCAGGGGAGGGAGGAGGGAAGGACAAGGCCACACTGCACTTCAAAACTTATTGAATGCCAGCCTTCTGTTGCTTGGGCAGTCCTCTGGGGTGGAGTGGTTGGGTGCCCGGAGCCGCTCGCGCGCCCCCTCCCTCCCCACGCTCTTGGGCTTCTGGGTGAGGAGGCTATGGAACTTGGGGAGGAGGGCGGTTGATTACACAAGGGCTGCAGTGACAGTCTGTGCCTTTGCTGCACCTCAACCATACGCCGGAGCATATCAGTTTGATCCTCCAGTAGCCTCAGCATTGCATCCTGCCTCCTCTCATCACGCTGCCGCCACCTCTCCTGTTGCTCCAGCCATCTATCCTCTTGCGTGTTCCTCCTTTCCTCGCGTTCATTTTGTGCTTTCCTGGACTCTGACATTGTCTGCCTCCATGCATTCTGCTAGGCTCTTTCAGTGCAGGAGGACTGCATGAGCTCAGAGACCATTTCATCGTGAGTGCGTGTTTTTTGCCTTCTTATCTGCACTAGCCTCTGGGACAGAGATGCTAGTGGCAGCGTTGAAACATTTGCAGCTGCTGGAGGGAAAAAAGGGAGAGTAAAATTGAAAAAGACCATTTAAAAGGCCATTTAAGGCCATTTAAAAGGAGGGGCTGATGTTTTCAGGTTAACGTGCAGCACAAACCCAACTATACCTCCCCCCCCCGTACCCAATTCTCTGGGATGATGGCTTCACCCCTTGCCCCACTGCATGGCTTACAGCGGAGATGATTTCTTTTCAGCCACAGGCAAACAGCCCAGCAGGAACAGCCATCTCTGAATGTCCCCTTAATAAAATTCCCCTGTTTCAACCAGGTGACCATGAATGATATCACTCTCCTAGAATAACACAGAGAGATAAAGAATGGATGTTGCTTGAAACACCGGGACCGCATGCTGCCATGCTTTCTTATGCAGTGATTCAAGACTATGTGCTACTGGCCTGGCGTGGTAAAGTGTCCTACCATGGAGGACGCAATAAGGCTGCCCTCCCCAGAAACCTTTTGCAAAGGCTTTGGGAGTACCTCCAGGAGAGCTTCATTGAGATATCCTTGGAGGATTTCCGCTCCATCCCCAGACACGTTAACAGACTTTTCCAGTAGCTGTATTGACTGCGAATGAATCCCAAGTCTTCAGGGCAAATTAATCATTAAACACGCTTGCTTTTAAACCATGTATTATATTTACAAAGGTACACTCACCAGAGGTGCCTTCTCCGCCTTCAAGGTCTGGGAGCCCAGGTTGGGAGGGTATTGGCTCCAGGGTGATAAACAGTTCCTGGCTGTCTGGGAGAACGGCTTCTCCACTTGCCTGGTATGTGCTATCTTCAACCTCCCCCTCCTCATCATCTTCCTTGTCCCCAGAATCCTCATCCCTGTTGCGTGAGACTCCCTTGCAGGAGAAGGGAAGTGGCATGTCTGGGGCTCTGACCCCGAGTGGGCGTTTGCCTCTTTGTTTTTTTGTTAGGCTTGCCTGAGCTCCCTAAGTTTCACGCGGCACTGCTGCGGGTCCCTGTTATAGCCTCTGTCCTTCATGCCCTTGGAGATTTTTGCAAATATTTTGGCATTTCGTCTTTTGGAACGGAGTTCTGATAGCACGGATTCGTCTCCCCATACAGCTCTTTTGCGATTCTGCGACTCCATGGTCACCTCTGCTGATGATATCTGCACAGTCACTTGTGCTGATCAGCTTGCCACGGTGGCCAAACAGGAAATGAAATTCAAAAGTTTGCTGGGCTTTTCCTGTCTACGTGGCCAGTGCATCCGAGTTGAGAGTGCTGTCCAGAGTGGTCACAATGGAGCACTCTGGGATAGCTCCCGGAGGCCAATAACCGTCTAATTGCATCCCCACTACCCCAAATTCGACCTGGCTATGTCGATTTCAGCGTAATCCCCTCGACAGGGAGGAGTACAGAAATCAATTTTAAGAGCCCATTAAGTAGACAAAAATGGCTTTGTTGTGTGGATGGGTGCAGGATTAAATCGATCTAACGCTGCTAAATTCGACCTAAACTCGTAGTGTAGACCAGGGCTGGGAATCAGTTCCACAGAGCTTAAGCAGTGTGGTGGGATTGAAAAGGTTCTGATTGATAGGTAGCAGCCATCCTATTTCAGTTGTGATGATGGCTGACAGAGGGAAGAGTTTGTCTTCTATTTGTCCCTTTAATCTGAATTGCGCAGATACCAAGCTGGAAGCTAGACCAGTTTACTGTCTGAGAGGAATTCATAACAGTAGCAGGGTGAACTGTTGATTGATTGTATTGTCACCCACAGCTATTACTTGAGTACTGGAGCATGTATTGTGAGCCGTGAGTATTAAAGGGGATATAATAAGGAATTTTTTTGTCCTAGTTGTTGAATGTTGGACCAAGAAGATCACAGCAAAGCCAGAGGAGGGAGCCCAGGAAGATCATCACTGTATGTGTGAAAGAAGATGTCCACCTGAAGAAAGCAGAAAATGCCTGGAAGCCAAGCCTGAAAAGAGACAGCCAGGCTGAGGACCCAGAAAATATAAAAACCCAGGTGAGAACAGTCTCAACACACTTTGTGAATGCCAGTGAACTTCTGGAGTGGTCTTACACACAGTTAATTGAATCCTCAATAGACACTAACATTTCATTCTATTAACACTGGAACGATGGTAGTTTCTTCTTGCTGCTGTGATACTCTTGTCTGGACAATAACCCTAGCAGCACTGCTGTCCAGTTTGAGTCACAGTTCAGATCTGACTTTATTTTTTTGTTTTACTCTTATTCAGAGTTAAAATTGGGTCACTTCATATATAAAGAGAGTGAAGACAGGGAATACCAGACAACCTACTACCTCTCTACCAAGATTATTTTTATGCAACTATTTTACTTGAATATTTCTGCCTTCCCCTTAAAAATAAACAACCTCCAACTTTCAGTGTAGCACAGAACTTCCTTTTCATCCCATTGTAGAATGTATTTCTGTACTGAGCCTGAGCGGCACTAAGATTCTTCTGTAGATTTCCCTTTAGCAAAGACCCGCCCATGCCCACACTGCCGTATCTCAGACTTTCTCTGTAGGTTTCTCTCCCTCCGCTCTTTCATGCTCTTTCATGGGATAACCACAGCGGAATATTTTTGGAGTACAGTGGAATTTTGTTCCAGTTGACAAATACAAACTTGACCAAATGAATATAAAATTATCTGTCTTAGAGTAAATATAGTAAAAGCTTGTTACCTCTATTGATAAAAAAAACAAAGCTTCTTCAAGTTAAACTTAACTATAGAACATAAATGACTGCTTCTGAAGTTATTCCAGATAAAAAAAATTTCAAGTGCCCAAGTCCTATTTTCAAAAGTGACTTAGGCATTTAGGAGCCTGTGTCACTAAAAGTCAATGAGACTTTGGTTCCTAACTGCCTATGTTACTTCTGAATCACATAGACACTTTAGAAAGGGTTGCCCCTCTTCTTCTATTGCTGTTAATCCATAGATGAGTTAATATTAAAGGTGAACTGAAAAGCTTTTTACCTTAGAAAACTGAGAGAGGTGCATGTTCCTGCACTTCCTGGTCCTTTAGATATAGGTGAAGTTATCAACTGTTACAGGAGAGATCCACAAAATCCATCTTGTGGGTAAGTGGCGGCAGAACTGACTTTCAAGTATTTTGTTATAAAATGTACAGTGGAGCCTGCCTCCACTGGAATGGGGATATAGTGAAATTCTATTAATTGTCAAGTACAGTGAAAATCACTCATAGTTTCAAAGCACTGCAGATTGCAATTCCAATAATAGGAAACCTCTGTTTGTGAGTAATAATTAATACAATTTTGATGCAGAGTAGATAGGACTGTGTTTAAGGACTTGTCTGGGGGTTTCACGGTATGTATGTCTGATCAGTTCTGGACATACATTCTGTTAGTGACTTGGCATCTTAAAAACTCCTTTTAAAAGTTTTTCTGTTCACCTTTAAAATGCATACCAGTTTATTATTCAGATCACCTCCTATAATCTTGCTGTGTTTGTGCTCTGCACTTATTGTTGTTTTTACTGACATGTTTAGGAGTTGTTCCGCAAGGTACGAAGTATCTTAAACAAATTGACACCACAGATGTTCAATCAGCTAATGAAGCAAGTAACAGACCTGACTGTAGACACAGAAGAGAGGCTAAAAGGAGTCATTGACCTGGTCTTTGAGAAAGCCATCGATGAGCCCAGCTTCTCTGTGGCTTATGCAAATATGTGTAGATGTCTTGTAACGGTAAGAGTGGCAAAAGTCAAACAGGAGTTTCCTGTGGGTAAGTTCTCCCCTTGCTGGACATCATTCCCATAGACTAAAATGGGAATTATGTAAACACATCCAGGGCAGAATTATACCCTTTAGTATTTTTATTGAACTTCTTAGTGTAGCTGAGAAAATCTTATATTACAAAATTGTGTTTACATGTATATATTGGCCGCACATGCACCCAGAAAACCCAGAGTGAAATTGACTAGGAGTGATGTTAAACTGAGGTCCAGATTTGTAGCTATTGGGTGCTGAGCACCTTTGAAAATTTGGTGATTAAATTGCAGTTCAGTCCTAAAAGTAGCTCCATAAAAACAGGTTTCAGAGTAACAGCCGTGTTAGTCTGTATTCGCAAAAAGAAAAGGAGTACTTGTGGCACCTTAGAGACTAACCAATTTATTTGAGCATAAGCTTTCGTGAGCTACAGCTCACTTCCGATTGAGCTGTAGCTCACAAAAGCTTATGCTCAAATAAATTGGTTAGTCTCCAAGGTGCCACAAGTACTCCTTTTCTTTTTCCATAAAAACAGGATTCCAGATTCAAGTTGTGTCACTGATTTCCAGAGCAAATTTGTTCAGTTTGCGAGTAGAAAGCTGAGGCAATTTCTACATTCCAGCCCCACAAACTGACCCTGGGCTCTGACAATCAATCCACTTTTTTTATCTTGAGCCTCATGGTTTTGTAGTCCCAACTGTGTTCTCAGTTACACTTATAATGGCTTTTTGCAGTGTTTATGATGTATTATGTAAAAGCATATTTACACAAACTTTTTAAAGCTGTTTATTTATTTGATAGAGAGAAGGCTTTGATGTGTATCGTGTAAATCTGTATCGAGGCACATTTTAAACTAAAAAGTAGGTATCCTGACTCATTACTGCAGTGACTGTCATGAAAACAGGTACACAGTTCATCAATGTGATACTTCATAACCACTCCAGTAGTGATTCAGTAACAGAATGGTGCAAATGCCATCTTGAAATGGACATGCAGATTAAAGAACTATTACTGATTTATGATAGAATTTAATGCCTTTTTGGAATTGACCTCATCAGATCCAGAGTTCATTTCAGGCCACAGGATTGTGCCCTGGCCAGATAATTCCAATTCTACATAGAACTTGAGTGATTTTTATCCTAATGGTGCACCATGACAAACAATACAGTCGAGGATTGCTGGCCATGCTATTGGCAGTAAAACTGAGATTTTCCTTATGTTAGACATCAGTCACCCTACTAGTGTCAGTCATTAGACCTGTTACGATATCTAACACAATAGGTACTTTAAAAATGAAAGGAAAAATGGAGATTGAGGGTGGAGAAAAGAGGGGTAGAAGTAGAGAAGAGGAGGGAAAACAGAGAAGGAGAGGTAGTGATGGAGAGAACTAATCCTACCAGAAATAGCACCTCTTGTCACTCACAGACAAGAAGCACTGCCTCCAGAAAAGCCATTTCAGGCATCAGAAAGTTTCAGGCGAGATAGGGGAGGGCCGAATCACCAATCTTAAGGTAAGAAACATTTACCCGTAACATTTGGGGAATGACCCTTATTTTTCCAAGTGTTGATCCCTGTTTTTGTCATTGGTAGAGCACTGCCCCAGAGTGGCACATTTCTGAAATGAACCCTGCAAATCATGGACCTGATAAGATTTAGCTATGGTGTACGTACTGTTACATAGGCGATACATACAGAGTGCTCTGTGAATGTTTATTAACAATAATATATATTGTTGTGGCATAGCTCTGGAATCTGAAACGCATAATACAAATCTGTATTTTAAAATGTTCTTATTTTTAAAAAATCATGAATCATAAACAAGATTCTTTGTAGGGAAACCATAATCTACTTCTAGGCTAAGATGTTGTCAGACAAGGTTTAGTATGGAGAAAATTTTCATATCTGAATTTTGTTGTCTAATGAAAACACTGGCAAGATGGTTGTCTAATGAAAAACACTGGCAAGATGATTGTCTAATCAAAAACATGGTTGTCTAATGAGAACACTGGCAAGATGCTTAACTGTAGTAGCCTTGCAGTCTCTGCTATTACTGTTTATAAAATATGTAATAAAATGTAACTGAGAGTGCATAGCTGAGATCCTTTGTATGGCAAGGTTTAATTGTGCTTTTCCCTGTGTTTTTCTTCCACTGGATACAGCTGAAAGTACCTATGGCAGACAAGCCTGGGAGCACAGTAAATTTCCGCAAGTTGCTACTGAATCGTTGCCAGAAGGAATTTGAAAAAGACAAAGCCGATGATGATGTCTTTGAGAAGAAGCAAAAAGAGCTTGAAGCTTCTACCACTGTGAGTTTCTTCATAAAATCTCAGTGATCTTTGATAGTCCAATCATAGAAGACTAGAGCTGAAGGAGACCTCAGGAGGTCATCTAGTCCAACCCCTTGCTCAAAGCAGGACCAACCCCAACTAAATCATCCCAGCCAGGGCAATCTTGAAGGACTGAATCATAGACTATCAGGGTTGGAAGAGACCTCAGGAGGTCATCTAGTCCAACCCCCCTGCTCAAAGCAGGACCAATCCCCAACTAAATCATACGACTGCTGTGGATGCTTTGGAAAATTTTGATTTCCTATGTTGCTGTGGTTGGGTTTCATAAAAAAGCTATTTGCATTAACTGAAGCCCTTATGATTATATGTTTCATAGTTTGGGGAGTAAGAGGTTGGGAATGTGAACAGCAGTAACTCTAGCTTTTCAGAAGCATGTGCTACTATGTGGTTTCCATTTGCATGCTTTCTAGAATTCCCCTTTCTGTTCTACAGCAAGAGGAGAAGACGCGACTCCATGAGGAGCTGGAGGAGGCCAAGGACAAGGCTCGACGGAGATCCATCGGAAACATCAAATTCATTGGTGAACTCTTCAAACTTAAAATGCTGACAGAGGCCATCATGCATGACTGTGTGGTGAAGCTGCTTAAGAACCATGATGAAGAATCCCTGGAGTGCCTTTGCCGCCTGCTCACCACCATCGGCAAGGACTTAGACTTTGAGAAAGCAAAGGTAAAGAAAGGACTGAGTGACAGTGGCTGAACAGGGATGCAAAAGTGGGGGCTCAGTACTTTCCATTGCCGTTGTTTTCTCTAGGAATTTCTGTCATGTTCTATTAAATCAGATGCTGAGAATGTTTCATCCCCACCCTGTCACATTGCCTTCCCACCCCTTTCCAATATATTATGTACTGTTGGCTACATTAAGCACTAGCTGCAATATTTTAATTCCTTTTGCTGTTTAGCTGTTTCCAAATAATTCACCCAGCTACACAACCTGAAAAGTATTTGACATACATAATATCTTCCTTTTACACATGGAATCTTAATCTGTCAACCGCAGTCCCCAAAGCCTTAAAATGGATTCCAGTTTTTTTGCTCCTTGGGGATTGTGTTACATATGGAAATACATCTTCAAATGAATTGTTCATGGTAACATCTGCAAGGCACATTGACTGACCTAAACTTCCTCATTATCAAAGCAATCACAGGCTTAGACAAAAAGAAAAGGAGCATTTGTGGCACCTTAGAGACTAACAAATTTATTTGAGCATAAGCTTTCGTGAGCTACAGCTCACTTCATCGGCTGTAGCTCACGAAAGCTTATGCTCAAATAAATTTGTTAGTCTCTAAGGTGCCACAAGTACTCCTTTTCTTTTTGCGAATACAGACTAACGCGGCTGTTACTCTGAAACCAGGCTTAGACAAGTCTTCTGATTGTATTGTCTTCTCTGAAAATTCACCTTGTGTTGTGTTGTGATCACAACCTGTAGTGTGATCATAGAATCATAGAATATCAGGGTTGGAAAGGACCTCTGGAGGTCATCTAGTCCAAACCCCTGCTTGAAGCAGGACCAACCCCCAATTTTAGCCCCTGATCCCTAAATGGCCCCCTCAAGGATTGAACTCACAACCCTGGGTTTATCAGGCCAATGCTCAAACCACTGAGCTATCCCTCCCCCCTGAGGCAGATGTTTCACACTGCACTGCTACATTGTCCTTCCCCTATTTTTCCAGTAGATGTAAGTGTAGTTTAGTGCATTAAACGTTAGATTAACTCAATCCCATTGGCATCAATCATCTGCTTCTATTTCACACAAGCCAGGCAAGGGATGAAGACGTATTCAGATTTGTCTGCCAGATCTCAATCAGACACAACTCTGGAAACTGAGCTAATTGTTTTCAGCTGCTCTTAGAAGGGAGTTTCCTTGCAGCTTGGTGGATTGCAGGGATCACAATGGAAACCAATCCTGATCCTTACAATGATCCCTCGATGGATTGTTTGGGGGACCGTGGGCTGAGCCTAGTGGCCTGCTAGGCAAGGCTGAGAGCTTCTTAACGAGGCTTTGATCTCTAAGCCCTTTAGCACCCATCAAGCCTTAACCAGGGTCAGGGCTGCTCAGGGAGACCCGGGCTTTAAAATGCCTGCTCCTAAGTGACCAGAGGAGCTAGCGAACAGGAGTGGCTAACAGAGGAGTCTTCAGAGGGAGGAGTGTGAGGGGAGCTAGATACACTTAACATTCTTTAAAGTTAAAGCCAAAAATACCTGGGTAAAAAATCAAAGAACAACAAAGGAATGAGCTTCAGGAGTTAAAAGAGAAGTCCAGCAACAGAGTGGGGGCTATCCAATTTATTGCACTCAATGCAGCATGTATGATTACCTGCCCTATGGGTGCATTTGGTGCAAGGAGCTCCTGGCCCTCAGAGACCATGTACGGGCTTTGGAGACCAGAGTGGCTGAACTGGAGGAGCTAAGGAAGACAGAGACTTTCCAGGACACAATAGAACAGTCCCACCTCTGGTCTGACAGCCTCTGTGCTCTTGAGGAGGATGGAAATCTCATGGAAGGAGAACATCCAACTGGGGCAGAGGGAAACGATCCCATAGTTGAGACCCTTCTTCCAGATCATGTTGTGGTATCCTCTCACACTGAGGATACCTCTCCCAGGGAGGGAAGTCCAGTTATTAAGAAGAAACAGGTATTAGTAATGGTGATTCGATCATTAGAAACATAGAGAGCTGGGTTTGCGATGACCAGGAGAACCGCATGGTGACTTGCCTGCCTGTTGTGAAGGTTGCGGATGTCTCAAGACATCTAGATACACTTATGTGTAGTGCTGTGGGGGAGCCGGTGGTCATGGTACATGTTGATACCAGAGATATAGGAAAGGATAGGAGAGAGGTCCTGAAGACCTAATTTAGGCTGCTAGATAAGAGATTGAAGTTCAGGACCTCCATGGTAATCGTCTCTGAAATTCTTCCAGTTCCACGCGCAGGCCCAGTTAGACAGGCAGAACTGCAAGGTCTCAGTGCATGGATAAGATGATGGTGTAGTGAGGAGGGGTTTAGATTTATTAGGAACTGGGGAAACTTTTGGGAAAGGGGGAGCTGATTCAGGAAGGATGGGAAGTGCTTATATACCGATGCTAGGAGTCTAAATAATAAGATGGGTGAACTAGAGTGCCTCATATTAAATGAGGATATTGAAACGTGGCGGAATGAGGATAATCAATGGGACACAGTAATACCAGGGTACAAAGTATATCGGAAGGACAGAATAGGTCATGCTGGTGCAGGAGTGGTACTATATGTGAAAGAAATGAATCAAATGAAGTAAAAATCTTAAATCAATCAAACTGTACCATAGAATCTCTGTGGATAGTAATTCCATGCTCTAATAATAAGAATATAGCAGTAGGGATATATTACCGACCACCTGACCAGGATGGTCATAGTGACTGTGAAATGCTCGGGGAGATTAGAGAGGCTATTCGGATTAAAAATTCTGTAATAATAATGGGGATTTCAGCTATCTCCATATTGACTGAATACATGTCATCTTGGGATGGGATGCAGAGATAACGTTTCTTGACACCTTAAATGACTGCTTCTTGGAGCCGCTAATCCTGGAACCCACAAGAGGAGAGGCAATTCTTGATTTAGGCCTAAGTGGAGCACAGGATCTGGTCCAAGAGGTGAATATAGCTGGACCCCTTGGTAATAGTGACCATAATATAATTAAATTTAACATCCCTGTGGCAGGGAAAACACCACAGCAGCCCAACACTGTAGCATTTAATTTCAGAAAGGGGGACTAAACAAAAATAAGGAGGTTAGTGAAACAGAAATTAAAGGTACGGCACCAAAAGTGAAATCCCTGCAAGCTGCATGGAAACTCTTTAAAGACACCATAATAGAGGCTCAACTTAAATGTCCACCCCAAATTAAAAAACATAGTAAGAGAACCAAAAAAGTGCCACCGTGGCTGAACAACAAAGTAAAAGAAGCAGTGAGAGGCAAAAAGGCTTCCTTTTAAAAAGTGAGGAAAATAGAAAGGAACATAAACTCTGGCAGATGGGAGATTCCCAAACCTGAGCCATTCTTTTTAGGTGACAAATCTGAGGAACTGCCCCAGATTGAGGTGTCATTAGAGGAGGTTTTGGAACAAATTGATAAACTAAACACTGATTTGTCACCAGAACAAATAGATAAAATAAACCGTGATTAGTCACCAGGACTGCAATGGCCTTTTCTCATTTGAGTGCTCCTTTAGCGTCTCCATCGTCCAGGGGCCCCACTGGTTGTTTAGCAGCTTCCTGCTTCTGATGTACTTAACAAAAAATTTGCTGTTACTTTTGGTGTCTTTGGCTCATTGTTCTTCAAATTCATTTTTGGCCGTCCTAATGATATTTTTACGCCTCATCTGCCAGAGTTTATGTTCCTTTCTATTTTCCTCACTTTTTAAAAGGAAGCCTTTTTGCCTCTCACTGCTTCTTTTACTTTGTTGTTCAGCCACGGTGGCACTTTTTTGGTTCTCTTACTATGTTTTTTAATTTGGGGTGGACATTTAAGTTGAGCCTCTATTATGGTGTCTTTAAAGAGTTTCCATGCAGCTTGCAGGGATTTCACTTTTGGTGCCGTACCTTTAATTTCTGTTTCACTAACCTCCTTATTTTTGTTTAGTCCCCCTTTCTGAAATTAAATGCTACAGTGTTGGGCTGCTGTGGTGTTTTCCCCGCCACAGGGATATTAAATTTAATTATATTATGGTCACTATTACCAAGGGGTCCAGATATATTCGCCTCTTGGATCAGATCCTGTGCTCCACTTAGGCCTAAATCAAGAATTGCCTCTCCTCTTGTGAGTTTCAGGACTAGCGGCTCCAAGAAGCAGTCATTTAAGGTGTCAAGAAACGTTATCTCTGCATCCCATCCCAAGATGACATGTATTCAGTCAATATGGGGATAGTTGAAATCCCCCATTATTATTATTGAGTTTTTAATTTGAATAGCCTCTCTAATCTCCCCGAGCATTTCACAGTCACTATAACCATCCTGGTCAGGTGGTCGGTAATATATCCCTACTGCTATATTCTTATTAGAAGAAGAAAGTACAATTACTTACCAAACAGTAACTGTGGCTCTTTGAGATGTTGTAGTCAGTGTGAATCCCATGACTCACCCTTCATCCCCGCTTTTCAGAGTCCTCAGCTAAATGGGCTTTGAATTGCAAAGGAACTGAGGGAGGGCCATGACCCCTCTATGGGAGTACAAGGAGGCACAGGATATATGTGTGGCCCTGGCAGACACAGCTATTAAAAGAAATCTGGTCTCATGCACATGGAATCCACATTGACTACAACATCTTGAACAACCTCAATTACTATAGGGTAAGTAACTGTACTTTCCCTCAATTCCTCCCCTTCTCAGTATCTACACACTAGCTGCATCACTCAAGGCTTCAATCCTGCACCATTGATGTCGGTAAGAGTTCTGTCACTAAGGGTATGACTTACACCGCAACTGGAGGCGTGATTGTAGCACATATAAACATACCCGAGCTAGCTTTTACCTTGCTGGCTTGGGTTTGGGTACCATTAGCAGTGAAGCTTCAGCAGTCTGGGCTAGCCACCCAAGTACAAGTCCACCAGTGATCCTTGTAATGTACTCAGGTGACTACCCTGTTCTACCGTGGCTTCACTGTTATTGGTACCCAAGACAGCTAGAGTAAAGCTAGCTTATGTCTGTCTACATGTGCTGCAATCACACCTCTGATTGTAGTGTAGACAGACCCTCGCTTCCTAGGATCAGGAGCGGGCTCGTAGGCTGTACTTAGTGTTAGGATATAGATATTCAGGCCTGTCTGTAAAGGCCTATACTCTAAGAATTTAGGTGTATTCTTATCACTTGGCTAGTTATAGAGGTATAAAAGAAAGTATCAAAATCACCATCTGCCGGTGTAAGAGTCTTCTCCTACTGTGACAGTCTGAGGCCCTGTTCTTAGGCTAAGGACTTTGGCTAAGCAGCAGAGGCAGCCATAAGCTGGGAAGCGAAGGGTCACATCCTCACACTGAAACCTAGTCACATTGAAAGAAGGTGCTATTGGGCTGTTAGGAATACAATCCTGTCCTGATAATGCCTATCGCCTCTAGAGAAAGGGAAGTGCCTAGAAGATGTAAAAGGAAACTTCGTTTGATAGCATCCTGTCTGGCAAGAACTCACTTATCAATAGCTAGGATGTGAAATCCTCATTTCTGTGTTTGTTCTATCACTGTAGTCCCCATTTCCCTATTGTTTGCCTGCATGATCTCTGTCTGGTTCTGTGATTGTTTCTGTCTGCTGTATAGTTAATTTTGCTGGGTGTGAACTAATTGAGGTGGTGGGATATAATTGGTTAAATAATCATGTTGGGATTGGTTGGTTTAATTTTAGTGGAATGATTGGTTAAGGTATAGCTAAGCAGAACTCAAGTTTTACTATATAGTCTGCAGTCAATCAGGAAGTGAGTGTGTGTGTGGGGGGGAAGTGGGAACAGGGAATGGGGGTGGGGAAATTGGAATCATGTTTTGCTAAAGGGGGAAATGGGAACAGGGAATGGGGGTGGGGAAATTGGAATCATGTTTAGCTAAGGGCAGGAATGGGAACAGGGCCACAGGTAAGGTTCTGTGGTGTCAGAGCTGGGAAGAGGGATGCTAAGGAAGGAAACTGGAATCATGCTTGCTGGAAGTTCACCCCAATAAACATCAAATTGTTTGCACCTTCGGACTTCAGGTATTGTTGCTCTCTGTTCATGCGAGAAGGACCAGGGAAGTAAGTGGGTGAAGGAATAAGCCCCCTAACACTTAGTGTATTGTTTTTTTTATTCTTATTGCTTATTTATGTTAATACTCTTTCTGCCAAATTCATTAACTTCATTAGAATTACAACACCAGGGTTGAATTTGACCCCTTATATTTACTTTCTAATAATAGCGGGAACATTTTATTAAGCATTTTCATTGTAGCTGAAATGCTAGCAATAGTTACAATTAAAGTTGCTGGAGAATTTCCTGTTTAAGTATGTTTTCCATCACTCATTGCTTTCTGAAACTTTCACCTTTAAGGATGACGTTTTCCGGGATTGGCCCATGCCCAAGAGTTAATTTTTTAAAAAAAAGTTGGAAGGAAAAGGATTCCACGGTTTTTGAATGAGAGGAGTGAAAAAATTAAACTTTTTGGTTATTAACAAAAAATCTTGCAATTTCTTTTTTTATAACATTTCTAGCTCCAAAATGAGTGGTGGTTGAAATTTGAGAGTTTGGCAAGCCCTTGATAAATAGAAGTGCCCTTCAGTGTCCTAGTGAAAATTGATTTTAGTGTGGCCAAATGTATGAGCTTTTGGGGAAAAAACACACTTCTTGTCAGTAAATGATAGCACTATTTGTAATGAGAACGTAACTGACTGAAAGGATATTGTGTATATAGATGTGGCAACTTATCTATGTAGTCAAAATATATTGAAAGTTTGCAGTGAATTAGGCAGGGATCTGTAGAATCCCATTGTCATTCCCCTACCATCATGTAAGCATGCTTTGGGCCATACACACATAAGTCCAGTACATGCATGAAAGTGTGCATGACCTGATGCACATTTTCACACAGAGCAAATCTAGATCCCTGAATCAATCATACCGTGCCTTGCAGCAATGATCAGTAGACTACTCTGGGACAAAATTGATTGCCCAGGTAAAGTTGCATTCCGTTGTTCTTCTGAGAGTTGATGGCATTTGTGTCTTTTTTTTTATAGCCCCGTATGGACCAGTATTTTAATCAAATGGAGAAGATTGTGAAAGAGAGAAAAACGTCCTCCAGGATTCGGTTCATGCTTCAGGATGTAATAGACCTAAGGCTGGTATGTACCCACTGAAGTAAGTAAAAGAGCACGGTCATTGGCACTACTGTAATGGAATATCCCTCAAATGAGAGTAATAATTATTGATTACAGTAGTAGGAATGATGAAAGGAAAATATGTACACTTTTTGCTCATCCCAGATGTCCGGTCATTTGAAAGGTAAGAAGTACTCTCACCCCCACACCCCCACTTTATTGAGGGCTAAGAGATTAGTGTTTGGTGGACAGATTAATTGCTTCACATGTTTAGGACACTTAGGACCTGTCTACACTGCAAATACAGGCATGTGTTTGTAATGAGTTTTTGAAACACTTACCAACCCGATTACAACAAATACAGCTCAGCTTTTGTCCAAAGTAGGTTTGGGTTTTTTTTTATAAACAATATAAACTTGTATTATTTGTTGCGTGTCTATTCTTAGTGCTCTGCTTAACCATATATGTGTAAATGCATTCTGGGTAGCTGTCTCAAAGTGCTGGAACTGAAGACAGAGTGCCCAGAGAACATGAGCACATTGCCACAACAGCAGCACTCTGGGGTGCTCTTAACATACAGAGGTTTGAGATGACTAGCCAGTCTGGTTACACAAGGGTGTTCAGAAGCCCTCTATACATCAAGGAAAAAAGGTTGCTCAGTTTGTTACAGGAAGTTACGTGTCTCAGCCTGTACTGCAAGCAAGAATGATAATATGGTTAGCTACTGTGATTACTAGTTGATTACAGTACACCCTCGCTATAACGAACCTGTTGGGATCCAAGCCTTTTGTTCATTGTAGCCAGGGGTTCGTTATAGCGAAAGGACAATAAAAAAAAAAAATGGGCAGAGGGGCTGAGACCTGGGCTGTGAGTCCCAGGCTGCTGGGGCTTCGGGCATCTGCCCTGCATGGCTGGGGCTGAGGCTTCGGGCGTCTGCCCTGCATGGCTGGGGCTGGGGCTTCGGGCGTCTGCCCTGCATGGCTGGGGCTGGGGCTGGGGCTTCGGGCGTCTGCCCTGCATGGCTGGGGCTGGGGCCGGGCGCTGCCCTGCATGGCTGGGGCTGGGGCTCGGGCGTCTGCCCTGCATGGCTGGGGCTGGGGCTTCGGGCGTCTGCCCTGCATGGCTGGGGCTGGGGCTTCGGGCGTCTGCCCTGCATGGCTGGGGCTGGGGCTTCGGGCGTCTGCCCTGCATGGCTGGGGCTGGGGCTTCGGGCGTCTGCCCTGCATGGCTGGGGCTGGGGCTGGGGCTTCGGGCGTCTGCCCTGCACGGCTGGGGCTGGGGCTTCGGGCATCTGCCCTGCATGGCTGGGGCTGGGGCTGGGGCTTCGGGCGTCTGCCCTGCATGGCTGGGGCTGGGGCTCCGGGCGTCTGCCCTGCATGGCTGGGGCTGGGGCTGGGGCTCCGGGCGTCTGCCCTGCATGGCTGGGGCTGGGGCTTCGGGCGTCTGCCCTGCATGGCTGGGGCTGGGGCTTTGGGCGTCTGCCCTGCATGGCTGGGGCTGGGGCTCCGGGCGTCTGCCCTGCACGGCTGGGGCTGGGGCTGGGGCTGGGGCTCCGGGCGTCTGCCCTGCATGGCTGGGGCTGGGGCTGGGGCTCCGGGCGTCTGCCCTGCATGGCTGGGGCTGGGGCTGGGGCTTCGGGCGTCTGCCCTGCATGGCTGGGGCTGGGGCTCCGGGCGTCTGCCCTGCACGGCTGGGGCTGAGGCTGGGGCTGGGGCTCCGGGCGTCTGCCCTGCATGGCTGGGGCTGGGGCTTCGGGCGTCTGCCCTGCACGGCTGGGGCTGGGGCTGGGGCTTTGGGCGTCTGCCCTGCACGGCTGGGGCTCCAGCCCGTCTGCCCTGCATGGCTGGGGCTGGGGCTGGGGCTTCGGGCGTCTGCCCTGCATGGCTGGGGCTGGGGCTTCGGGTGTCTGCCCTGCACGGCTGGGGCTCCGGCCCGTCTGACCTGCATGGCTGGGGCTGGGGCTGGGGCTTCGGGCGTCTGCCCTGCGCGGCTGGGGCTGGGGCTTCGGCCCGTCTGCCCTGCGCAGCTGGGGCTGGGGCTCCGGCCCGTCTGCCCTGCATGGGCAGCCACACGTGGCTGGGGCTGGGGCTCCGAGCTGTCAGCCACGCACGACAGTGGGGTTGGGGCTCCGAGCTGTGAGCCATGCACAGCAGTGGGGTTGGGGCTTCGGGCTGTTAGCCACGCACGGCAGTGGGGTTGGGGCTCCGAGCTGTCAGCCACGCACGGCAGTGGGGTTGGGGCTCCGGGCTGTCAGCCATGCACAGCAGTGGGGTTGGGGCTTCGGGCCGTCTTCCCCGCATGGCTGGGGCTGCAGCTTTGGGCCATCTGCCCTGCATGGCTGGGGTTGGGGCTTCGAGCTGTCTGCCCTGCATGGCTGGGGCTCCGAGCTGTCAGCCATTCACAGCAGTGGGGTTGGGGCTCCAGGCTGTCAGCCCTGTGTGGCGGGTTTGGGGCTCCAGGCTTCAGCCCTGCGCACTGGGGCTCCGGCTTCAGCCCTTGGCAGGGGGAGATGGGATAGGGGCCTACTCCTTAGTTTCTGCCCTTGGGCTCAACGTGTGACGCTGGATAAAAATTGTTGGTTATTTTACAATAGAGTACTTACTGTAGTTGGGATCCAGGGACCGGGTTTGTTATACCCAAAGGTTCATAATAAGGAAGGGCCTTATAGTGAGGATGTACTTATTAACCATATTGTGTGTGGACACAAATTACCTTTAGAGCCAGCCATATCAATAACTGGTTCCAAACTTGTCTGAAAGTTAGTGAAGATGAGTCCAATCTAAACTAAAAATGTAAACAAATCTAAAAATGTAGCCAGACTAAAGCTTAATACATAACCCGGGCTTTAACGCCGTTACATAGTATAATTGAGGTCATCTACACTGAAAATTGTAAAAGCGGTTGTAGCCAGGTCAAGAAACAACCATGGTATATTTGGATCCTTTGTGTTTTTGGGTACATGAATCTGTACAGTATGGGGTCTAGTGACAGCATCAGTCACCTAAGTTTTTCTTGTGCATAAAGGTTCCACTTCTTTTCCCAAAGAGTTCTTATTTGGCCCATATTAGATTCTTTTATAGTGTGGGGTAGTGTTTCTCAAAGCAAGTTATTCCAGCCCCTGTTGATTCGGGACCAAGTAAACTGTCTCACATTAGTATATATTGAGTCTTGGATTAACTGGCAAATCACAGTTTTCTGCAAAAATACACCCTATTTCTGCTCTTTTGGATCAGTTGTTGTTTTCATTGTCTTTCCAGAGGTGGAAGAAACATGCTGGCAAACATTGAAATTATGTAACCAATTTGGAGTAACAGCAACTTCCCCTCAAAGACATCTCTTTCCTATTAAGTTGGTATTCAGTTATGCTGCATAGGATAGAAAAGATAATGATCTGAAGACTTTTATAGCACAAGTGGTTAAAGCAGCTTTGCATGTTATGTCAGTCATGTTCTTTTATGAAGGTGGATCCTTGTTACAGAAGCCAAATTCAATGATATATATTTGCATTATATATACATTCTACTGTTGTAAGTCTGAGGCTAGAAATGGGGTACGGGTTAGGTGACCCAGCTCCACAGCATCCTTTTCACTGGTGGTCCTTCTAATTTAAAGATACATGTACTCTAAAGACACTAACAGTGACATATAGAGTACAGACCGTGCACGCCCAGCTAGTACAGAAGTAAATAGCAGTGTAGACAGTGAGGCACAGCTTAGGTGTGTAGAGAAGAAGAGAGTGCCCTACATTACTGAAGCCCCAGGATATATACCATACATGGGCTAGCTACATGCCCAAGCAGTGCCTCCCGCATCTACAGTGTTATTTTTAGCAGTGCAGCGTCCTGCTGCCTCCCTGCTGCCACAGCCTTTTCCCACAAAGTGAAAGGCTGAGGCACGGGAGAAAGACTCTGGTATCAGGAAAAGGATCTGGCAGCTCTCAGCTGACTTCCCCCTGCCAGAGCCTTTCCTCATTGCAGTAAAAGGCTCTGGCAGTGGAGAGCTTTTTGAGCCTTTCACTGCAGCATGTAGCTACACATTGTGCTTGTATTCCACATGCTGCTGTAAATGTAGACATAATCCTTAAGGGTATGTCTACTCTGCAATTAAAAACCCATGGCTGGCCTGGGTTTGGGCTCACAGGGCTGTTTAATTGCAGTGTAGATGTTTGGGCTCAGGCTGGAGCCCAGGCACTAGGGGGACCCTGCGAGGTGATAGGGTCCCAGAGTTTGGGTTTCACCCTGAGTCAGATTGTCTTCATCGCAATTAAACAGCCGCGCAGCCTAGGCCACGGGCCAGCATTTGGTATCTGATTGCAGTGTAAACATATCCTAAGGGTGAGAGGATTACTGAGAAGCTAGCTATTGAACTGTGTATGCCACTTTTACAACCTTACTCTCATCATGTCCATGATATCACATTTACTAGGCTTCTCTGTAAATACCACAGAACTCATTTTTGGTTCTTATGTACCTCTTTATACAGTGCAACTGGGTATCCCGGAGAGCAGATCAAGGCCCCAAAACTATTGAGCAGATTCATAAAGAAGCAAAAATTGAAGAGCAAGAAGAGCAGAGAAAGGTCCAGCAACTCATGACCAAAGAGAAGAGAAGACCAGGTAAAGAACCACACAAATTAGCTCTCATTTCACTGTGGGCACCCACTGCCCACTGTTCAGAATCTCATAAAAAAGGCACAAATCTGTTAAGGAATATCTGTCATGGACATGAATGAGATTGGAAGAGGAGGAAAATCTGAGGATACTTTCTCCAACATCCCTCTACAGTATCAAGCACCATCCACCCTCCCAGAGAAGCTGGTTTCTCCTGCTACAGTGGTCACTGATGAGATAGCTAACACTGTTGACAAAAAGAAAAGGAGTACTAGTGGCACCTTAGAGACTAACCAATTTATTTGAGCATAAGCTTTCGTGAGCTATAGCTCATGACATCGGATGCATTCAGTGGAAAATACAGTGACCAAAAGGTTTTCTTCCCCCCACCTCCCCCTGCTCTCCTGCTAGTAATAGCTCATCTTAAGTGATCACTCTCCTTACAGTGTGTATGATAAAACCCATTTTTTCATGTTCTGTGTGTATATAAATCTCCTCACTGTATTTTCCACTGAATGCATCCATTGAAGTGAGCTCACGAAAGCTTATGCTCAAATAAATTGGTTAGTCTCTAGGGTGCCACAAGTACTCCTTTTCTTTTTGTGAATACAGACTAACACGGCTGCTACTCTGAAACCTGATTGTTGACAAAGAGGGTCTCCTGGCAATCTGGTTCTGTTGCCTGCTCTGCATTGACTTCTTATGTGTGTTCTTTTTGGGAAAATCACTTAAGTTCTCAAATGCCTCAGTTTCCTTATTTGTAAAATTGTAATTATACCATATGGGTGGTTGATGCTTAAATGTTACATTTATGTGAAGCCCTGCACTTCTCTGGGGCTTCACAGGGATCTCAGAGTATTATAATTACTATTTAGGAGTCATATTCTGCCTGTCTTACTCACATTGAGTATCATAGAATCATAGAATATTAGGGTTGGAAGGGACCTCAGGAGGTCATCTAGTCCAATCCCCTGCTGAAAGCAGGACCAACACCAACTAAATCATCTTACTTCATGAATACTGTGATTTCAACAAATGGGAGTACTCCCATAGTAAGGTGCAATTCAGTGTGTGAAAGGGTGTGGTAGCCTGACCTTCAGTTGTTGTTAGGCATCAAAATTAAACACCCATTAAGATGAATAGAGGCTGTCCATACCTTTCTGAGCTGTTGTACCAAAATCAGCTGTACTAAAAGCTGGTCTGGATCCTTTTGATTTCAGTAGCATCACACTTGGTTATCCTAGCACTGAGTTGTCTCATTGTTTTGGCCAGTCTCAGCAGTTTCAGTTAGACAGCAGTGCACTGATCCATGGTCAGAATTTTTTCTCCATAACCATAATGGCTAGAATCTTTTTTTCTAAATGTAATTTTCTAAATTATTCTGAACTGATGGGGCCACTAGAGATGTGATACAATCTACACCAAGTACCAGCTAAGTCCAAGGCCTGGATCCAGAAAAAAATAAAACAAAAAGTAACTTTAAACAAATTTTCAGTATAAAATGGCTTATGAGAATACAAGTATGGAGAGCAGTTTTACATATAAGAACCAGTAGGTAAAGAAATGTGATAAAACAAGAAAGTAAGATAAAACAGTTGGCAAGCAACGAATCAATTGTGAAGGAAGAATGCTTGGCAGACCTAATGCAGAATAGTCTTCTATGGGATATTAAACAAGAGGTACAATAAAAAAGGAAGAAGACAAAGTGCATATTGGCTTCTATTTTTAATGCTGCTACAATTTATAGAATTATAGAATCATAGAATATCAGGGTTGGAAGGGACCTCAGGAGGTCATCTAGTTCAACCCCCTGCTCAAAGCAGGACCAATCCCCAACTAAATCATCCCAGCCAGGGCTTTGTCAAGCCTGACCTTAAAAACCTCAAAGGAAGGAGATTTGACTACCTCCCTAGGTAACACATTCCAGTGCTTCACTACCCTCCTGGTGAAAAAGTTTTTCCTAATATCCAACCTAAACCTCCCGCACTGCAACTTGAGACCATTACTCCTTGTTCTGTCATCTGCTACCACTGAGCACAGTCTACATCCATCCTCTTTGGAACCCCCTTTCAGGTAGCTGAAAGCAGCTATCAAATCCCCCCCTCATTCTTCTCTTCTGCAGACTAATAATGGTGGGAAAGAAATTCTACCTGAACCTCTTGAAGTGATTCCTCATTCAGGCTGAAATGTGTGTGTGTTGAATCTATGCAGTGAGTGCCACTGTTTCAGGTAGCAGGAAGCCATTTCTTCTGCCTCTTTTTGGAGCTTTTTATTTTGCACAATACATGCAAATGACTACATCAGAACACCAAGAACACAGGCTGAGAAAACAGTGCTGTAGTCAGAGGGAAATATCACAAAAGTTTGCCCTTCAAAATTGTGGTTCTTTCTCAGGCCTGTTTATAATACTACAATTAATAATCTACATATGCTACAGTTCCTGAGGTAACAGCACCTCTAACCCATTCAGGTGGCCTCCTTAAGAGCACTCCACTTAAGTCTCATGCTTCTAACTATCACCTTGCTCAGGTCTTGCGGAGGTCTGTGACTCCCCCTCTAGACCAGAAATTTGGGCTGCAATTCCTCATGCAATTCACTGTTGTTATCCCAGCTGGTCTAAGTTTAGTTCAGCATCTGCAGCTCTGCTTTCTTTCAGTTCGATGACAGGCACTAACCAGTGGCCAGTCAGCCTTCATAAAGAAAATATTATTCAGAACAAAAGCATTACAGAGAAAACCTATCTTAAAAACAGTAAACAACTCACATGCAGGTCTCAGTTTACCAGGCAAATCCATCTTAAACATGAAAACCCTGATAGGAACAAAGTACTTCAGACCCTTCCTGCAGGTCTGCCCCTCTTGGTCGCAGTGTCATGCTAATTCTTGGATTGAGTGAGAGTGACTCCCTCCCATGTTAGGGTGACCACTTTATACAGCTCTCAGTTCTTTGTTTGGTAATCATCTTTAACCAGATCAAACTAGCATATGCCATTTCTCCCAAAAGATGAGCCCTCTCTAGTCTTGCCACCTGCCTAGGAATTTTCATTAATTACCCCCAAATGATGTTAGTTCCTGCAGTAAACCCCTGTAACTCCCCCATGGAGCCAGAATATAATCTGTAGCTCAGAAAGATATACATAACATTTATAAAGTTGATACAATAGTCTTTGAATATCCCATGTCTCTATAATATCTAATCTAGAATAAACCTCTAAAATTCATGCTTAACATTTGCACTGTAGAGTTGTGTTGGGCTCACAGTAGGGCTGCAACCCCTTCTTTGACTTTCTCAGATCACGTTTTTGAGGCAAGGACTGTACACATTGCACTTGGATACGTTTGGACCATGAGCAAGTTTTAAGGAAGTTTTGATTGACTTTGTTATTTTTGTAGGTGTCCAGAGGGTAGATGAAGGTGGATGGAACACTGTTCAGGGGGCAAAGAATAGTCGTGTGCTTGACCCCGCCAAATTCCTTAAAATCACCAAGGTAAGTATCAATGGACTGAGTCACTTAATGTTGACAAAGCTACTTGGATATTAGTTTGGGAAATTTTTGTTTGTTTAGATCTATGGAGGAGATGGTTTGGTGCTTATGGGTACAAAGAGGCCTTACTCTTTTTTCTAGGGTGTTTTAATTCGTAAAATCTTTGGGGAGGCAGGTCTGAGCTGAATGTAAACAAAACATTGAGCAAATGTTATTGGTTCTGAATGTCCAAAGATTATTTGAACTGAGGAAAGACAACATATGTACACATTTTTTAAGATTCATAATTATCCTTTTTTGATCCAAAATTTCTTCAGTTGAAAAGAGAATGTGAATTCAGGTACTGTCTTTGACAGGAATAATACATCAAGCAGCTATCCCACAAGGCCTCTCAAGTGCCTTGGAAGGCCTGCCTGTGGTTACTGGGGGGAAGGATAGCTCAGTGGTTTGAGCATTGGCCTGCTAAAGCCAGGATTGTGCGTTCAATCCTTGAGGCGGCCCTTTAGGGATCTGGGGCAAAAATTGAGGATTGGTCCTGCTTTGAGCAGCGGGTTGGACTAGATGACCTCCTGAGGTCCCTTCCAAACCAGAGATTCTATGAGTTATCATGGAGGCAGCACTCAGGAAGATTCTTGGAGTTTAGTTTCTAGTCTCTGTAGGCAGAGGTGCCCCACCATACTCTGAGTACATAGAGTCCACAGTATTCTCTCAGTTTTGCCTCGGGCCTCATAGCAGGCTCCTTCTAGACTACAACTTTCTGAGAATTGGCTCTTGTATCTTTTTGTCTCTTGTTCAGACCGTTTTTTTCTGAACACCATCCTGTCCACTTCTGGATCTTCCAGAGAGAGGCCCAGGATTTCACCTTGGGATGATTCTTCTGTAGTTTCATGATTCTCATTCTGTTTTTTGGACTCCCCTCCCACAAATACACAGGAAAAAAGGTCAGAGGGAAGGGGCACTCTCTTCCTCAGAGGATGGCAGGTTTTCCACGTCATCTTCTCTTAGTTGGCAATGCTTTAAAGAGCTGCCTGGGCAGGGAAGATTTAAGCACCAAGAGTTCTGGTGCAGGCAGAGTAGGAGCGGTCGGAGCCAAGGAAACTGGCCATATCTCCCCCTACTGCCACTTCTTCTCTAGTGTTCCACTACCTCCCCTCTTCTCAGCTGAACTACTCTTTGTGGAAAGGAGGGTTGCTTTCCCTCTACTTGCTGCCTATCATAGGTGGCAGCACCAAGAGCTTTGAGGATCTGTGGTTTGAAATGAGCGATGAACGCTCACGTTGTATTTGTAGATTTCTGGGTGCAATCAGGAGACTCATACCGGCCTTTCACCTTCCTATAAACTGTTATAAATTTTTATTTGATCCTGCAAATCTTGCCGCAACCATTATCTGAGCCTCTGATGAACTGCTTTTTGTTATTCTTATCAGCAAAGTGGGATTTTTTGTGACAGTAGTCTCAGACTCAGGTTAAGTGTATTGTCCTTCCCTAGACCCCTGTCCTTTGCTAGAGTTCTTTCCAGACAAAATGGTCCTGAGAACAGCTTTGGAATTTCTATCCAAAGAAAGAGAACTTAGTCCTTTACATTATTAGGATGATTTCTTTATTTCTTTTTGCCCTAATCAGTGCCACCCTATTGAATTTTCCTTCAGTGCCTGGATGTTAAGAGGCATATAAAGTAGGACCGGGACAGAATAAAATCTTTCTGCAGATCAAGTGCCATTTGTTCTTTATGGAGATCATACAGGAGGCCTCCAAAGCCCTGTCTAGTGAGGTGGATTTATTCTGCTAATAATCAAGCTTTCAACTCAGATGAGAGAAGCTCTTCTACTGTGCTTAGTGTACATACCACTCTCTCCATTACAGCTTCATGGGCAGAAAGAAACAAAGGCTGTTCCAAGGAGATCTGCAGTGTCGCAACCTGATAGTCAATAAATTTGTTTGCTGATCATTACAAAACGGATTTCCAGTTCTTATAAGACACTGCTTTTGCCCCTCCAGATCCTGCAAACCTTTTCTTTACATGGCTTTCTCTGTTCTGATCCTTGCTGCTTGCAAATTCCCAGCAGTGCCAGGATTGGCAGATTTCATAGTGAGTGGAAATCATTAATTCATTACACACAAAATGGTCATCCCTCACACACTCAATGCATCAATCCTGTATTCCCTCCTTAAAACTACTGTTAAGATCTTTCGATCTTATTGATAGAAAGTTCACAGATGGTTTATACTTACTCTTTGTGAGGGTTGCTTTCCCCCAGATGTTTTACATTTACGCTTTGGAAGTATCTATTTGGGGTGTGCTTAGACACTCCCTGCCTTTTAGAGGCTGAGGAATGATCTCCAAGAATCTACTAGAAATCTCTGTGCTAATAAGGGTCTTACAAGCTGTACCAGAATTAGTAAGTGGAGTTATATGAAAAGATCCATTTACAAGTAAGGAGCAAAATTTTCCTATTTGTAAGTGCTTGATCATCTGTGTTGATTTGTATTGCAGTCCACAATAGATGAGAAGATTCAGCTTGTGCCTAAAGCCCAGTTGGGCAGCTGGGGGAAGGGCAGCAGTGGTGGAGCAAAGGCCAGTGAGATTGGTAAGTTTTACCTCAGTTTATATGCTGTCTTTGATGTTGATCCTTGTAATCGTAGTTTAGCTCCTTGTTGATCCATCACTGTGGTAATTTTGAACAAATCACGTAATGTGAAGTAAGAGGTATATATGCTGTGACCATCTAAAATTAATGAATTCAGAGCTCAGGCCTAGATAATGTCCATTCCTGTAAAGTTTGTGTCATGAATGATCAAGAATACATCCCTTACAGCAGAATGTGACATAACAGTAGCGTAATAGTAACACATAGTAAGGGCATCAGCTATTTGCAGGCTGGTTTTCCCACCCAACTTCTTTTTCATGCGAGGAGCCCCTTAATACATAAGTAAAGCAAAATATAATGTCAGCATGGGCCATGTGGTTCCTGGCACTGATACCTGGACTCGTTAAGACTCTTCCTTTTCTGTTTGGAGACTTTCATTTGAATTGTTTTCAAGACTTGAAGAGAAAATCTTGTGGCTTTGCCTTTTTGTGGGAGCCAGCAGCCTAAGAACTAATTAAAGTCTTCAGCAAGTTCAAAAACCTTAACAAATGAACAAATTCTTCAGGCCAGTTACTAATTAGAAAAGAGTCTGTTTTATTATTAGTAATTGATTGTTTTCTGCTGTACTGACCATATGTGCCAAAGTGTTTTATATAGTCATAAAACAAATAATAAAGAAATACAATTATACAACAAATTAGGAACAAATTCAATTCCCAAAATAGATCTCTCTAATAGAGTTTTAAAACTTCCTGAAAAGTTTGGAGCACAAGTGATCTGGAGTAAAAGTTTTCACTAAATTATAACATGTGCAGCAAGACTAGGACTCTGTTGCAGGTAATCTGTTGTCACAGAAGCTGGGTGGCTCAAAGTGACATGCTGTGGTCACTAAACCTGAGCTATAACAATATACTGTCAGTCTGAATCCTGGCCATGGCAGTTTTCAAAGAAAGTGTATTGTGTATGTTGCTTGCATTCTGCAGGGGCTCCTTTTGGAAGTTTTGCTCTGAGATAAAAATTTCTGGTTTAAAACCAATATTTTAAATTGCTTTAAAATACACAAGAGGACTTTGATTTTACTTTGTAGGTGTTATCAAGGTAATTACCATTAATTAAATAGGGGGAAGATGAAAGACTCTAATAAGCAGTTGGGATAATGTGATAATGCTCCTCAACTATTTCCTGAGCAGAGGGACTGAGTACGCTCAAAGGACAGCAAGTTAAGCAGTCAGAGTCATTTGTGGTATGTCTACACTGCAGTGTAAGCCCAGGACTAGTAGAACTCAAGTTGCAGACTGTGGGTTTGTTAGTGTAGGCCCTGAAACCCTAGGTTCTTTTGTAAACCCAAATTAGGAATTTTTGAACCCTGGGTCTTAACCTGGGACTCCAGTGTCTACACTGTATTGTGTGGGCCCCAGTCCAACAACTCATATTTCAAACTTCCCAAAATGTGGCCACTCTAGTGTTTTGTTCATGGTGCAGTGTGGGAAAACTTGAGTGTCCACCAAACTTGACTGTCCAGAGGTCAAAGAAAGTTGGCCTAAGGGATTGTGGGATAATTTTGATGGACTTCCAGAGCATAAGTCCACTGGTGCTATGTCTACGCTGCAGACCAATAGGGCTTGTACCCTGGGTCCTGGCTTGACTCAGGCTTGGACCCTCAACCTCTGGGATCCTGGGTGGGAGCCCTGGATTAGCACAATTTATGTGTTGATGGAAAGGGGGTTAGGCTTAAGCCTGAATTCAAACCCTGAGCTTACATTGCAGTATAGCTGTACTGTTGGACAAATTACACAGCTCCCTTAAAATGAGCTGCTCATAGTATTTTCAGATTCTTCCAACTTTTTTAATGCAGAGCTCGGGAATATGAAGGATCAGAGCAGTAAGGAGAAATGTGCAGGATGTTGGAGCAGTGCAGAAGGAGAGGGGTTGGGAGGATGTAGGAAGGAGGCTATGCACCTTTGCCAACCTTTTCCCCTTGGGATTGTGTTCTGGCACAGCTATCAAGAGGCCAACACACTCCTATACAGCAACTTATTAGAGTAAGGGATCATTCAAATGCTGTGTTTTTGAAAACACAGTTGGATGACTAGGACTTAGACATTCACTGAATGCATCCAATGAAGTGAGCTGTAGCTCACGAAAGCTTATGCTCAAATACATTTGTTAGTCTCTAAGGTGCCACAAGTACTCCTTTTCTTTTTGTAGAACTCTACTCCATCCCCATGCTGCCTGCAGCAGTGAGGATGGGAATACTAGGCTCACCCTTACCATGATGCTGATGCTTGTAGGAAAATAGGGGAGCTTGGAACAGTGCAGGAGAGTGTGAGGAGGAAAAAAGAGGATCAGAGCTGTGCAGTAGGAGATACAGAGTTGGAGCTTCAGCTCTGTCCCCCAAACCTCACCACATCTATACCCCCTATTCCTGTCCCCCTTCAAAAAAAGCCCCCTCCGTGCTGAGACCGGATTGGGAGCTAGGAATTAATATGTGCAGTGCATGGCACAGGTACACAGTGCTGAGATGAAGTGAGCTGTAGCTCACGAAAGCTTATGCTCAAATAAGTTTGTTAGTCTCTAAGGTGCCACAAGTACTTCTTTTTGTGAGTGCTGAGATGGGGTAGGGAACTGAGAAAGGGCTTCCTTGGAGTATGGCACAGGCCCACAGGCTGAGAACATCTCTTCAGTCCACTTCACACCTTTCCGAACCTCCTTTCCTGCAAATGGATCTGTAGAACCCCATCCCATATACCCATACTTGGGTTAGGACTTTGTATCTACACTCTCCTTCACCTTCTGACCTCCAACTGGTACAGGTAGTCCTCAAAGCCCCATCACCTCTCCATGACCCCTCCAAACTTACAGGTAGAGAGGCAAAGAGGGTGGAGAGTGTGTGTGTGTGAGAGAGAGGGAATGTTGGAAGAGTTAGAGCAGGAGTGTAAGAGTCTGAGTAGGTGGGGGAAGTATGAGCAGTGAGGGAGAATGTGTAGGGTTTTGGAGCAGTGCAGGGAAGAGCGGGCTAGAGAGGAGAGCATCAGAGCTGTGCTGTGGGAGATATTGGGGCATTTTAGCTCTGTCCCCTAAAAAATTCCCCATATCCATGCTCCCTCATGTCTGTCCCATACAAATGTCCTTCTCTCCATATGGAGGTGAGCTGAGGTGGGGAAACTAGGCTATGCTGGGGGGCAGAGATGGGAGATGAGATGATGCAGGGGCAGTGAAGGGACTAACATACAGCCAGTGCATCCTATGGCTGGGATAATCATTGCCAAGTAACCTTGAGCAGTAGAGTGGGAGGGCTGGGCTGTGGAAAATGGGGATGCAGAAAAATTAATTGCCCAGAAACTTAGTGAACACAGAGTTAAGGTTGCTCAGTGATGCCTCTTGCCATTCAAAAATGTAGAGATTGGCTGAACTTAAACTTCTGAAAACCAGGAAATACAGGATTATGGTATGTGCCACTCCTGCAATACAGCCTTAACTCTCCTCTCTTTGATCGATGCCCGAACACACATACTAGCATAATAACACACGTACTAACACTTTACCCTTGCAGATGCTACAAAACATTCTGGGAATGCTGCAGATGAGCACTGTAGGACAAAGTTTAACACCTTCCTTTGCTGAGGTAAAACTCAGGGTTAGGTTAGGCATAGCAAATAGGAGCTATGTACACCTAGTCTATACTCAAACACTGAGCTTTGAGACATTGCTTTCATTTACCTCTCACTAAGCCTTGAGACCAAAGTCATGTATGCCACCAACTCCCCATTAAAAGACCCCTGTGAAGTGCTACTGAGACAAACTACAGAAGTCAGCACTGAAATGAGGCATGGCTGATCCTTCATGGTAACTATGCACCTCTCCTGCTAACTTGCTGTAACTAATCCCTCCACCATTCAGCACAGCTGCAGCTAACACAGTGAATACAGCTGGAGTGCATGCAGGTAAATGCTGTAATTCAAATCTGTGGTACGCAACACAATAATTGGCATGTTTTCTTAGTCCTCCTTCGTGGCTATGCCACCAGCATTACTGGGCTATCCTCAGTGACTGTTGACAGCTCCAGGTTGCTCTGTGGGGTAGCATGAACCTTATCTTTGTAGTTCTTGGTTTTCAGAGGTTTAAGTTTATCCACTCTCCACATTCTTGAGGGAACAAGGTACTACTGGGAAACCTTAACTCTGCGGTAACAAAAATTTGGGACTAAATGTCCAAATAGATACTGCAGAATCTGAGCAAAAATTCAGGCTGTGTAAAATGTAAATGCAAGAGAAAAGAGCAGCATGGATAAGTCTAAAAGAGAATGCAAAGTATGAATTGGAGTATACATTTGTACTTAATTCTGCCAACAGTTTGGAGTGGACATTCTTAAAATTGTATGGATTCACTACAAGTGTTAAACAAGATTGTCAGTTTCTTCTCTGAGTGATGGTCCCTGTTGTATTCCATTAAGGGTTATACACATGCACCATGCATCCAGAGCCGGATAATTTGAAAGTAGTAGTGTCTGTTGGTCCACACATGTGCCCTTGCTCTACCTCATGGTTTACTCCAAGGCAATAAAGAGTGAAGTGAACTGACTGCGCCTTCAGTTCCTTCTCACCGCTGCATGGTCTCGGTCAGAGCTTCTACTCTCCTCTCATCTCGCTGTGACACACTTTAAAAAAAATTTTTTTAGTACTGTACATAGTTCATTTTTTGTAGTTTTAATAGTAGTAATAGTTTAACATTTTAAGGACTTTGGGATGCCATTTTTGCCAATTCCCCCAGCACCATCACCTACACCCACATCTGGCTACTGGATTATGGTGAAGATGCTCTTTCTTGGACAGCAAGGAGGACCAACGCTGCATTTACTGTTTGGGAGAAGCCCACATTTCATCCAGGTGCAATATCTGCCTCTTCTTCCCAAGCCATACCCAGAAAGGCCGAGCTCTCTGGCTCCAGAAGCACCTCATGGAGGTCACCGTGAGGCCGCAGTCGAACCCAGGCGGGGGAAT